GGCGGCACTACTCGATGAATTCCGTCTTACTCACGAGTTGTACCAGCAGGAGTTGGCTCGTCTGCGAGCTGAAACGGCCCAAGTTGAATCTGAGATATCTGCACTTCGGAGCCGACAGCAGGAGACACGACACGACGTGACCACACCAACGATAAACCAAGTACAATAGGAGCAAGTAATCGAGCAGCATTCCAAAATACCAAGCGACAATCAGCTACCACATGCGGCTTCGCCCGAGGGTTCGACGAACAACCTGCCATCGGCTATTGGACGAGCGGAAATTGGCGATAGGACGAAAGTGAATCTGCCGCCCCCAATAACCTCTGTGACCGGCCTGGACAATGCAAACATCAACATGGCGCTGGGAATCCTCAAGACACATAGGCTTCCCACGTTCGACCCGAGCCAGCGTGGCAACTTGTCCATCAGCGGGTGGATCTTCCACCTGAATGTTTTTTACGACTACAACCTCGTCAGCGATGATGCGCAAAAAATTTGATACGCCGTGTCACTGCTACGTGGACCGGCTATGGATTGGGGGCAACAGATAATTCAATCACAAGAGCCAGATACAACGCCGCGCATAATCGGGCGTTTTGGCAAGACTAATCACTGGGCAGGAAGTTATTGTGAGGTGGACGAGTACAACACGTGGCGAGTACAGCATGCCGCTTCGAACATGTCAATGCAAGCAGTCAAGCGTGCGACCACTTTCGCATGTGGCGCCAACTCGGATCGGTCCAGGACTACACCAGCGGCTTCATGAACCTATGCGACCAGGTCGGCTACATTCACCCTGACGAAAATTTCGATAAATTCGTTGGGGGGCTTCGACCGGATTAGCGCATAGAAATACAAGTCCGAGAAATTACAGATTTGATGGAGGCGCAGAGGGTTGTGGAGCAGTTGGATTCGTTCTACAGACCAAGGACGGGTTCCTATAACGAAAACTGCACTCGAGGACCAATCGAGCGTGCCACTATACACGCTGTTACAGCATCGAACTCAACAGTTACAGCCTTTAAGGGTCATTGTTTTGGGTGTAACAGATCGGGACACCGCAAGTCGGAATGCCCAAAGGAGCGGAAGAAGCGGAATCAGGGGCAGGGGAGGTCTAGCGACCAGGGAAACACTTAGTATCAGCAGTTATCGGGCCTACTACTGATGGAACCTGCTTGCTCGTGACCGATGACCCTCATCGAGTACTATTACCGATCCACGCAACCAACTAAACTCGGCTGAATTAGGAGGGTGCAGCGGCAGCTTACCCCATTATTTAGAGGGTAGGGTTCACAGGGAAATTCTTAAAAATTTCGTGGACGGGGGAGCCAGCCACAGTCTGATCAACCTCGTCACGGCCAAAAAAATGAAGTTACCCTTAGATACTGTCTACCGGAGATTGACGCCCGACTAGTCGATGGGACCCCACTAGCGATAAAGGACAAGGCGGACAAGATTAGGGTACGCTGTTGAGCTGACTTCACTTTTCCAAGAGAATGCTGGCAACTACACTCAACGGCTTCGATACGGTATGTTGCTAGGACGGGATTGGCTGCGCAGATTCAACCCAAAAATTGACTAGACGACCGGCAGCTGTTCCATCAAGATCAACGACCGCAGTGTGACGTTACCATAATGGACGAAGGGGACAACAGGGGGAGTGATGCAGGTGAACACCGTGGCGATCAAACAAGCGGTTGCACGTGGAGCGGAATTCTTCACTGTAGTTGTTCGTGCCATCGACGTAGCATCGCAGCCGTCCAATTTAGAGAAGTTGACAGCAGCAATGCCGGCCAATTTAACGCAGCTGATTCGCACGTTCTCGTAGATATTAGAACCGAGGGACGACCTGCTTGAGGGATTACCACCGGAACGACCCTTCGACCACTGAATAGAATTAGAACCCGGGACACAACCCAAAGTGCAGCGGCAATTTTGATAAACTCAGCCAGAGTTAGAGGAATTATGGAAGCAATTATATCACTTATAGAGAAAAAATCCACCCGCCCGAGTTCCTCGCCATTTGCCGCCCCCATTCTGTTCACCCTGAAGAAAGACGGCGGTTACCGAATGTGTTTTGACTACAGAGCATTGAACAGGGTGACAATCAAGTTGCATTACCCTATCCCGCGCGCCGACAAACTAATCGACCAGCTTCACAAAGCTCGCTTCTTCTCCAAATTAGATTTACGACGGGGTTACCATCAGATTCTCGTAGTTGCAGCTGACCGTCAAAAGACTGCATTCCGTACTAGGTACGGGAGTTTCGAGTATGTAGTTATGCCCTTCGAGTTTACGAACGCCCCGGCAGCTTTTCTGATGACCATGAACCAGATCTTCAGTTCACTCGTAGATAGGTGTGTTATAGTTTACCTAGACGATATCCTGATCCACAGCGAGACCCGGGAGCAGCACCTAAAGGACCTCGAAGCAGTTTTCACGCTACTGCGGGAACATCGGCTGCTTTCGAAGGGGTCTAAGTGCGAGTTTTTAAAAGAACGTTTAGAATTTCTGGGACACGTTATTTCCACTAAGGGCGTCGAAGTGGACCCACGCAAGATCAAGATAGTGCAAGCCTGGCTACCGCCTAAGAACCTACAGCAGCTGCAAAGTTTTTTAGGGTTCGTCAACTACGTTCGGGGATTTATCCCGAATATGGCGGGGGTAACTGCACCGTTGACTGACCAGCAACGGAAAGGGACTAAGTGTAGGTGGGGGGGGGAAGAGCAAGCTGCCTTCTCCGTGCTCAAAATTTTTCTTTGCTCAACCCCTGTCCTTCGCAACACCGATCCTTACCGTCCATTCGAAGTAATCACAGACGCCAGCGACATCGCCATTGGAGCAGTAATGTTACAGGACTTCGGCGAAGGTTCACAGCCAATCACGTACGAGTCCCGAAACTATCCAATACACGACAAGGAGATGCTCGCGATCGTGCATGCGTACAAAGTGTGGCGGTGCTACCTGACGGGCGCGGACGTGACAGTGCGGACAGACCACCGAAGCCTACAGTACATCCGCACACAGCCACTACTCTACCCATGACAAATTTGGTGGTTGGATTTTATGGAGTCCTACTTCCATTACTTTGTCACCTACAAGAAAGGGGCATCCAACATCGCAGACCCCTTTTCTTGCCCATCCGCCCATCTCAACTCCATAATCCTTGCCCAAACTTACTTGCTAGTAACAGGCCTATTTTCCCACAGGTACCAGACGGATAGATTCTTTACGTCTGGTGCGTACGAACAGCTCGCAATGGCTAAGGGGGTTTATTACGTAAAGACAGGGACTGACCGCATCTGGGTACCAGAGTACAGTCTACTACTGGAATTACTTTTACATGAAGCTCACGACAGCACCGTTTCAGGGCACTTTGGAGTGGAGAAAACCCTGCAGCAGTTGACCAGATACTATTTCTGGCCCGACATGCAAGGGGACGTGCAGCAGCATGTGGTCTCGTACAAAACCTGCCGAAATCATCGAAGCAAAAGCCAGCTGGACAGTTGCAGCCGATTCCGCCGCCTGAGCGCGCGTGGCAGTAGGTGGCGATGGATTTCGTTACGGGATTGCTTGCCAAAGACGGCTGTAATGACGCGATATTTGTCGTCGCCAATAAGCTGATGAAGATGGCCCACTTCGCCGCCTGCAAAAAAAAGCATCTCAACCGAAGAAACAGCCCGCCTCTTCATCTCAAGTGTAGTTCGCCTCCACGGAACCCCATCCGCCATCATTTCAGATCGTGATACGAAATTCACCAGTAACTTTTGGCCTAGCCTAGCCAAAATCCCGCCGCCGAGCCTACTGTTGTACCTGCGAAGGTTCTCAGCCATCGGATCAAGGACCCCCGAGGGGCTCGCCTAATCGAGTTTCTGATATCTTGGAAGGGCCGAACTGTTAGAGACTCAGCCACTAATCGCTGAATTAAAAGGGCTTGTTAATAGCGGGTCAGTGCGCCCATAGCCCCCCAGGCTCTGCACCTGTGGCCCCTCCCCGAAAATCTTCACAAGGTTAACCCCAACGGGTCTCTCGACACCCCCCCTCGCTGGGATAGGCGGAGGACACGAGCGCCTCTGCAGCGCTAGCATTGGGAATTGAACCTGAGTCACCAACACTCTGATAGCATGTTAGAACTCAGCCACTAACCACTGAGTTAAAAGGGCTTGTTAATAGGGGGTCAGTGCGTCCATAGCCCCCCAGGCTCTGCACCTGTGGCCCTTCCCCGAGGATCTTCTCAAGGGTAACCCCAGCGGGTCTCTAGACACGAACGGCCCTGGAAAACAGTTGGTTGCCCCTGGCACTGATCGAGAATTACCCTGTGTTACGGGTCTACAGTCACGCAACGTACGCGACGTCGGCGATCTTAACTAAGCCTGTGGCCCTTCCTTGGAGGGGGGAGGGTGTAAGGAAATTGTATTTTCTTATCAGGGGTTCTAGCCAGTAAGGCGTACACTGCTATAACGGGGTTGCCGCGCAACTGTGCCACGAAATTCAAATCGTTGTCCCAAATGTGGTCTCCTGACGAGCCGCATACATTGTTGCCCGCCTTGCTGTTGCATGCCTAGATCCGGGCGCTCCGCGCCATTTTATTAACCACACGTCGCATCTCTGCCGAGCCACGACTGTGTGCTCCTAAGCTAGCTATTTCCATGCTCCTTGCTATTTTTATGTTGCCTCGGTTGTATTGTTTCCCCGTTAATCAATCCTTCTACACACGCTCTTAGGGCCGAACAAATGAATCACATTGTCTTTCGAACAGCGCACAGCACATTCGCTACAATCATCATGAACCTGCAGTGCCCTGACAGATTGTGACTCCCGTTTCCCGCCTTTTGGGACTTCCAGCCTTTCCTCAGGAATTCCAGCCCGAGTCAGTTTCCTCGGGTGCCACAGGGCTCGTCCAAGTTCCAACAGGTCGTCTCTTCGAATCTCCCGTCCCAGTTCTCCATTCAGGTCAGGGATACCACCACAGCAGTTGTGATCATGGCGGTTGCTTCTCGTGGAAGGTGAATTGGGCAAGTGGTGGTTCAATGGATGAGCATGAGGGTCAGTAACGTTACAGCCGCAGTCTACTGTACTCCGTACACATTGTCTTCGAGTCTGATCGACACAGTCTCGCCTGGAAATGCTCGTCGCCGAACCCACTTCTGGCCACGTACAGAGCCATGGCGGAGGAATCGAAGCAGGCCGGAAGATGTTGGGCAGTTAGGACGTTCAAAGAGTACGGAAATCACCGGTCGCCTTTTCAACAGACTATTTGGGAATCCCTGTGTTCGCGGTTATGGCTACCAGACTCACAGGAACCATCACTTGGCATTCCATCTGTCTCTCCGCAGGTCGAATGCGCTCTTGTTCGCTTCAAGTCGAGGCTCGCCTTCGTGTTCCTACTAGTGGCCTCGACTCCTCCGCTTATTCTCTTCGTTTTCAACGCTCACCGTGTGATGGTTCACTCTTTTGCCATTGTCTGCAACGCTCACCACCTGTCGCGTTCCTCGCAACGATAATCGCATTCGTCGCAACGCTCGGCGCATTCCTCGCCTCGAACGCCGTTCGCTACTATCAGCGTCACACGTCAACCGCCTGTACGTCTTGAGCAATTGTCAGGATTGCTCACCACAACCAACAGCAGCACAACTTGAGCCAGTCACTGACATTTTATCGATACCTCGGGATCTTGCCAACGAATAGAAACGGCCCGAGCCCCTTTGATACAATCCCACGTCAAACACGCCATGAAAGCCATCTGAGGCCATTGACGCGGTTGTTTCAAAGCAGCGAGCCTTCCTCCTTTGCTTTCAAGACTTCATTCTCCTGCATTCCGGCCTGGATGGTGTCGTTCCGTTCTCGTCAGCTCTCTTGACTCCGTCTGCTCTCACCGTGTTATTCTCTTCACGTTTTAACCCCGCAAGCTGGAGACAAGTGTCGAGGCTGTTGCGCGGAACATCCCCCCCCCCCGACTCATGCTGTACACATTCCCATGCCACACTCCAGCAACTGCTGCGCATGTTTCCCAACCTCTTCGAAGCACCGAACTGGCTCGCTACACTCCAGCAAGTGGAATTCGCCCGAGGCTTGTTTTGGGATGACGCTCTAGCAACTCTCATTGCAGTGCGGGCACGTGAGGGACAGAGCCATTAAGACAGTCTTTTCTTTCCGGTTCACCAGTACAATACGAGTAGTAGACAGTCTGCACTGGAGCTCCGCTAGTTGGCCGCCAGGGCCGTTCTTCCCTTTCGCCTGAGAATCCAACCACCTTGGGGTCTCGGCCTCTTGGCATCTCGACATCCCGTGATCCTCCTCAATCGCACGTGCAGTCAGTGGCAACCTCGTGAGAAGGAGCCAACACTCCTTGACACAGAGCGACAGCTCCTCACTGTAACATCACTGGAAGGGCAGTTACCAGCAGCAGGCAGCATCATGGCAAATTCTGCCATCATGTGGGGTTTGGGCCAGGGGGCCACACAGCCCTTTCAGCCAAGAGGGCGAGAATCTGTGCTGGATCAAGCATGGCTGAGTCGGGCCAGGTTGCGGCGGCTTGCAGCCACAGTGCCGCCCGTAGCTCTGCTGCTGCTGCTGCTGCTGCTGGCTGTTCCCCTCTGTGCCTCCGCCGCTTCTGCGCAAACCTTTCGTGGCGGGCTGCTGCAGAGCGGTAGTGAGGAGGCACCATCAGATAAGGGATCGGTGCGCGGAGGATTGATGCAGGAGGGGAGAGCAGGGAGGCGGGGGCTTGAGCAAGAGGCTGGTAGATCATCCTCAGGAGACGAGAGCAGTGGTGGTGCCGCCACTGGCAACACTAGCATCGGTGCTGCCACTGACAGCAGTAGCACCAGTGCTGCTGGTACCTCTGGTCCTGCAGGCAACAGCACCGCTGCTGGTCACCTCTCTGGAGCTGGTAACACCACCGCTGCCCCCAGCAACACCCCTGCAGGCAACAGCACCGCTGCTGGTCACCTCTCTGGAGCTGGTAACACCACCGCTGCCCCCAGCAACACCCCTGCAGGCAACAGCAGCGGTGCAGCTCCCCCCAGCATCACCCCTGCAGGCAACAGCAGCGGTGCAGCTCCCAACAGCATCACCCCTGCAGGCAACAGCAGCGGTGCAGCTCCCAACAGCATCACCCCTGCAGGCAACAGCAGCGGTGCAGCTCCCCCCAGCATCACCCCTGCAGGCAACAGCAACGGTAGCACCGGAGTGGCCCAGTTCTTCACAGTGGGTCAGGAGGCCTTTGTGTGGGGATCGCCTCTCGTGACCTTCTTCCGCCAGCAGGCCACCCGTGCTGCCCTCAACGCCTTCTCCTACGCCAACACCACGGCCGTCGTCGGCACCACGAGTGAGTTGCGTGGCTGTTCTGACGTTCCCTCCAGTGCATACGAGTGTGTGATGACCCTGCGGCTGCCCTCAACGCTTCCTCCTAAACCAGCAACACCACTGCTGTAAGCATGAATGCCCGCACCATATGCAACTGCTCCGTGTGATGTTATGATCACCACCGCAGGCCACCCAAGCGGGTCAGTGCCTTCCTGTGCTCACACTGCTCCAACAGGTGCGGGTGCAGCGGAGATGACCAGCGGTAACTGTGGGACTCCCAGGGTTGACTCCCTCCTCTCCTCGCTTACGCACTGCACCACCTTCCGGCTCCCCTCACCCCCTCCTTTCCTTCCCCCTCCTTCCGATCTTCCCTTCTTTCTCCCACTGCTCTCTTCTCTCAAGACGTGGCTCCCCCAATTGAAGCAGAGCTTCCTCTTCCCCTGATGGTTTTTTCTCTCCCTCCTCGCCATCTCCCTGCATCACCTCCCCCACCCCTCTCCCCGCCCTCACCTCCCCTCCCTCCCACCTCGGTGTATGGTGGAGTCATCCTCTCCCTCCAAGGATTGAGCCACCCACCTTCTCACTGCATATCCTTCCATTCTCATCCATTCCTCCCCCAACCCGTCCCAGCTGTGGCTCTTCCGAACGTGGACACAGTTTATGGCGGGGCCTTTCGCTTCCAGCGAGGGATTGCCTGTTTGAAATCGTATTTTCAGCATTGCCTTCTGTGTCTTCTAATCCTTCTCCTTCTCCTCCTCCTCCTCCGCCCCCCCCCCTCTCCCCTCCAGCTGCGGCTCTCGGACACAATGTATGGCGGAGCCTTCCTCCTTTCCTACCTTGAGGTTAAGGGACAAACCGCCTCACTCCATATCCTCCCATTCTTATCCATTCCCTCCTCCCCCCCCCCCGAGGTGGCTCTCCCCAACGTGGACACAGTGTATGGCGGAGCCTTCCTCCTTCCTCCTGTTCGACCGTGGGAACAGGGACTCACCTTCTCACTGCATATCCTCCCGCGGTTATCCATTTCCTCCCCCCCAGCCGTGGCTCTCCCTAACGTGGACACGGTGTATGGCGGATCCTTCCTCGACCTGCGAGACCAGCCCATGGTGTTCAAGACTCCCAACATGGGTGCCGGCCGCTACTATAGGTAGGTGGTGTTGGGCGCTACCACAGATAACAGGAGTTCATCTGGGTATTACTGCAGCTGAACATCTCACGAGCCTTCCTCTACCTGCGAGACCAGCCCATCCCATGGTGTTCAAAACCCCCAACATGGGTGCCGGCCGCTACTGCAGGTAGGTGGTGTTGGGCACTACCACAGATAACGGGAGTTCATCTGGGCATTACTGCAGCTGAAACATCTCAAGAGCCTTTCTCTACCTCCGAGACCAGCCCATGGTGTTCAAAACCCCCAACATGGGTGCGGGCTGCTACTACAGGTGAGGGGAGTTGGCCGCTTTTGCAGGTGAGGGGAGTTGGCCGTTACTGCAGGTGTGAGAGAGGTGTTGGTTGCTACTTCCTGTACTCAACAGCTGGGTGCTTTTCATCTTGTCTTTCACCTTCACTCAGTGTTCTTTGCCATGCTCCTGTTCTCCCTCCCCACCTCTCTCCTCCCTTCCTCCCCCCCTCTACTTTGCTGCCCTTCCCGCCCTTTTCCCCCTCTCCCGCCCCGCCCACAACTGTCTCCCACCGTTTCTCTCTCTGCCATTACTCTGTGTGCAGTATCGGCTTGTTTTAGAACTACGGCCCAGCATTCACTTCCGACAGCAGCCCAACCATTGAGCATTCGCCTAAACCTCTCTCCTTCCCACCCTGTCTCCTCTATCCGCAGTGCTGGTTTCTTCCAAACCTACGGCCCGGCATTCAGTGTCAACGGCAGCCGCGCCAACGGGCCAGGGCCCAACACGTTCACAATCGTCGGGCCCAACTGGGACGGAGAACTGCCTGCCGACCTCGCACCCACGGTTATAACGGTAAGGGTACTGGATAAGACATAGATTCCTTCACCCATGCATCCAGCACGTTCACTGTTGTGGGGCCCACCTGGGCGGGAGAACTGCCATCTGACCTTGAGAGTCTGCGGTCAGACCGGTGAGATTGTTCCTTTCTCAAATGCTGAGTTGTCACACTCTGTGCGTCAACAGCACTAGGGCCAACGCTCCAGGGCACTGAGTGGGCAAGAGAACTGCCAGCTGAACGCGCTTGCAGGGTCTTAAGGAAAGCTTTGCGTTCTGGCAGTTGTAGTGTGTGTGGGTTATGGGTGCTTTGACCATGCACTGGCACTGTGGATCCTTGGTTCTGAAGTCTCTGGCTACAACACTCGCATACTTCCCCTCTCTCGTCTTCCTCTCTGCCTGGTGTCCTCTTCTTCCCTTCCATCATCTCCCACACTCCCCTGCGGACGATGTTCATCTGCTAATGTGAGTGGTCTTTTGCCCCTTACCACTCACAAATTGTTCTTTTCCCCTTCGCCCTTCTCCCTGCCCCAACCCCCTTCCCACAGTCCCCCACGGACGACGTTCTCCTGCTAATGCGTGTGGTTGTATCAGAGAACGTCTCTAACGACATTGCTACAGTGCTCTCCCTCTACAGTCAAGTCTCGCTACAGGCACTCTCAGAGGCACTAGGCGGGCCTGCAATTCCTCCCCTCCCCAATCCGCCCCTCCCCAGCTCCAACCTGTCTGAGGCCCTGCAGGTTAGATCTCTCTGCATCATCTGTAGGCTTTGAAACAGTAGGATCCCCACTTGCCACCCGCCCAGATGTGCTCCTCCCCAGCTCCAACCTGCCCGAGGCCCTGCAGGTGGATAGTTGCCTCACTCTTCAGTGCGCTTTTCACTCACAGCCGCCCACGTCATCCATAGCCCGGCAGCAGCACCACCTCCCCTGCCAAATGACCCATATTCCACATAAGGAACCACACCGCACCACTCCATCATGTCACAGTCTAGAGTGAGAGTCATTGTTTCTAGTAAATGACCCCTTTTCCTTAAGAAACCACTCTACTCTATCTTGTCAGGTGGGTCATGGACCTGGAATGGTCAGAACTCGATTTCCAGTAGCCACCTGCCTGAACCGTTGCTAGCCTATATAATGCTCCCTTCCCGTCGCCCCCTTTCCTGAGCGTGCATGCAGCGCTTGACCCTGATTGGTGAGGGGCTTCAGCGGGACCCTCCTGTCAACAACATCGCCAACAACCGAGTCGTGAGGATGGTGAGTGGACAATGGGTGGGGAGTGGTGGGGTATGGCTCAGGAGAGAGAGTGTGGTGAGGGGCTTCAGCTGAATAACCACAGGAGGGTAAAAACTTCGGGTGAACATCCGATCCGAGCACTTGTACTGGCGAGAAGTGAGAGCAGCGGTGTTTGAGATATATTTCCAGTTACTATTTAGAAGTGAAGGGGATGAAGCACAGTTATAATGATTGACCAAGAAGCTTAGTAGTAACAAATACTTAATCTACTGCTGTGTTCATTTGCCAAGTGCTATTAAGCTTCAAACTCGTCATATACGGGTAGTAACAATAAGGGAGATGACATACGTGCCTTTTTTTCTTCTTTCCCTCCCATTCTCCTGTACCCCTCAGCTGGCCACTATCAACGTGACACGGCAGTATGGCTTCGACCCCTACAGCGTCACACAGCAGCAGGCAGCAGCGCTGGAGGCAGCACGGCAGACAACAGACGCTGTGATCAGGGCAGCAAATGTCATCATCCAGATAAACGATTCAATCATCCAATCGTGAGTGCCCACGTGGTTTGTCAATTGTGGTTGCCCACGTGGTTTGTCAATTATGAGTGTCAACCAGCTAGCTGAAAAGCAGCACGACGGCAAGGGAGACAGAGTAGGGTAACGAGAGCCTGTTTTCAAACCACTGGTTCGATCATCTGATGGTGAGTGCTCCAAAAAAATAACTCTAAAAGAACGAATACGTAAAAATACTTGAAAGTCAGCATCACCGAGAACAGATGCGATGGTAAGGGTAGCCAATGTCGTCCAATCGTCAGTGCCCAGGAGGACACTATCCATTTTACTCAGAAAACTGGCAGAAAGGCGACTGATCAAGTTGCTAGAGACGGTGTATTCTTAACCAGTCATGTCTGCTCTTCCTGTGCCAATTAGCTTTCTCAACTTTACAACTCTTTCTTTCTACTCTCCTCCCGTCCCCCTGCCTCCTCCTGCCCCTCTCTCTCCTCCTGCCCCCCTCTCTCCTCCTGCCCCCCTCTCTCTCCTCCTGCCCCCCTCTCTCCTCCTGCCCCCCTCTCTCCTCCTGCCCCCCTCTCTCCTCCTGCCCCCCTCTCTCCTCCTGCCCCCTCTCTCTCCTCCTGCCCCCCTCTCTCCTCCTGCCCCCCTCTCTCCTCCTGCCCCCCTCTCTCCTCCTGCCCCCCTCTCTCCTCCTGCCCCCCTCTCTCCTCCTGCCCCCCTCTCTCCTCCTGCCCCCCTCTCTCCTCCTGCCCCTCTCTCTCCTCCTGCCCAACTCCCCAGCGAGAACTTCTGGGCATCATCCCTCAGCCTCCTCGACCACGACTTGAACACGGAGTTCCTGTACCGCGCCACGCTCACAGCGCCAGGGGGCATTGGGGGGCTTCCCCCTACAGAAGTGGTCTACTTCCTCACGTTCCTCGCTGAGGTGAGATCCGGAATTGCCTTCTATCGGGCCACCCTCCCAGCACCAGGGGAAAATGGTCCCAGGGGAAAGTTGTCGACCTCTGGACCTTCCTTGCTGCAGTGAGAGACGTCTTTCCTATTCCATACGCCATGCCTGCGACGCCATGCCTGTGACCGAGATGTTACTCTTCCATCAAGGCACACCTACAGAAGCCGATTTTCAACTGACTCAGAATCCGTCTTCTTCCGACTGAAGTCCATTACTTCCTCCGCCTTCCCCCTTTCTTCCCCTCCGTTTCCGTCTCCCCTCGCCTGCAGGCTACTCTGCCCATGGGAGCTCTTCTTCCTGCCAACGCTACAGGGTGTTTTTGAGAATCCTCAGAAAGAACCACTGCTGGAAGTCGCCTGCTTTCTCTTCCCCCCCCTTTCCATCTCCCCTTGCCTGCAGGCTACTCCACCTGTGGCAGCTCTGCTTCCAGCAAACGCGATGACCTGTCCCAACGCTACAGGTTTTTTTTTAGGAATTCTCAGAAAATTCCACTGCTAAAGTCGTCTGCTTTCTCTTCCTCCCTTTCCATCTCCCCTTGCCTGCAGGCTACTCCGCCCGTGGGAGCTCTGCTTCCTGCCAACGCTACGATCTCTCCCAATGCCACCATCCCTCCCAGCACCCCAGCTACCACCCCTACTCCAAGCAACATCACCGGTCCTCCCGTTAACCCATTCGACCCCCCAAGCAGTACCGCCACTGCACGCGCAAACCAAACTTCTCCCCAGCCTCCCATGATTCTCTCCCCGAATGCCAACCAAACCTCTCCTCAACCTCCCATTGCCCCCTCCCCAAGTGCCAACCTGACCACCTTGCAGCCTCAGATGTCCTCCCCCCACCGCTTCCGCCCCTTCATCCCTCTCCAAGGCTCCCGCTGCTTCCGCCTGCGCCTCACCCCGCCGCCTGTCGACTCCTTCTGGTCCGTCACTCTGTACAACGCGTCCAGCCTCAACCTGCTCGAGAATGTCACTAAGTTTGGCGTGGGCGACCGCACTCCCGGACTGCTGGTGAGCCTCTTTCTCCTCCCTCCCTCCTGTCTCAAGTTCTTCCCCCTCTTGGCTTCTTCTGGTCCGTCTGTACAGTGCGCCCAGCATTATCCTGCTTGAGAATTTCTCTAAGTTTGATGTGGGCGACCGCACTCCAGGACTGTTGGTGAGTCTCTTACCCCTCCATCTCGTCTCTTGAGGCTTTTAACCTGTCACGCTCTACAACGCGTCCGACCTCAACCTGCCAGAGAATGTCACCAAGTTGGGCATGGGCGACCGCACTCCAGCACTGTTGGTGAGTTTCTGAAACCTCTGTCTCCCACACCTTCCCTTGCCGCTGCTTCACTTCTCTTCCGGTCAGATGTTTCGGTCTGCCCCCTCTAACCTCCACTGACTTGAGAATCTACTTTTTAATTGCTAATTTGAAAAAAAAAAACTCTGCTTTATCAAGGCAACTTTGTGCTCATTTGTCTATGCAACTTCCCTCCTTTCTCTCCAACTTCCCCCCTGCTCCCTCTCACCCCACCCCCCTTCCCTGTTTCCTTGCTATCAAACTTTTGACTCCCCTCTCTTCAGTACAATCCTGACCGCACAGTTACCATCTACATTCAGCCTACTTCTCCTGGCCAATCACTTGACGCAAACTGGATCCCTACTGTCAATGCGGTAATGTTACATACGCCCGCGAGATGTCTTGCTTCTTGCTTCTTCCTTCTTCCCTTGTTCCCCTCATATTCCTCACTTCATATCACGCTCCTCATTTTTTAGACCACTCGTCCCTGTGGTTCATGTATATCTCATTTTCTCTGTTAATTTCTCTTATTTTCTCGCCCTCCATCTGAGTTCCCTAAACCACGTCATTTCTTCCAGACAAATAGTGCAGTCGTGGTGAGGGCTTATGGCCCCTCTCCTCAAATTCTCAATGAAAGTTATGAACCGGAAGCAATTCAGCTTAGCCCTACTTGTGAGATTTAACGAATTGTTAAGATTGTCGCAATTAATGGTATCTTTTATCTTGAACTAGGGCAAAGGATGCTACAACCGGTATATTGCAGCATATCCACCTTATTTAGGATTTGGTTCTGGCTTGGTTTCTATCGTAACAACTTTTTGTATGCATTCAGAAAGGATTATGCAAATTAGCGAGTTACGTTTTATATGAAACAACGAGCGCGACCATAAATGATGTTTCCGAGAATCTCGTGGAATCCAGTTGACGAGTCACACGCCCTCCGATCGTCATGTCAAAAGGCCGCAGCCAAAAAGTACGAGTCGCCATAGCTTAGGACCTTCCAGAACCCAGTAGAAGATCAGCGGAGGTTACGTTTGACCGCGGGAAAACCTATTTTGCAATTAAGAACCAGCAGCCAGTCTCGTTTCCTAGTCAATATCGAGAATGTGGGACAATTTGCTTCGGGATGTTTTCTGGGGTGTGGGTTTCCTCGCGGTATCCGCGTTAGTAGCGCTAATAACCTTCCAGGAGAAGCTCCTATACGTCCCCGTGGTTCCCGGCGCGACGCGCGAGTACCCGTTCACTCCGGAGCGCCTCCGGATGCACTTCGAGGATGTCTGGCTGACGGCGAAAGACGGAGTTAAACTCCACGCGTGGCTCTTAAAGTACAGCGCGACGACTCGAGGTGAATCGTGGGATTCACAATGCTTGTACGGTATCCGATGCTCACATCCAAAGCGCTTTCTGTTTGAGTCGGCTCAGGAAACACCTCATGCGATCCGATGCTCACATTCGAAGCGTGCGCTTACTTACTGGTGCTGCAGAATTCCGTTCAGATTGCAGGCATAATTATTTTCGGCGGACCGGAAATAGCCTGAAATCTCAAATAGCCTTGAAAATACCTCGCAAGTACTGTCTACTTCTTTCCCCTGATACTCTTCACCTCCTGCTTACAAGGCCCCTTGATTTTAAGGTCCGGTTTTACTGCTTTTCCAGATTCAGCAGTCTGTCTGCTCATGCTCCCCTGCATCCATTCATGCACTCCGCAATGATCCGCAGGTCCAACGATTCTCTTCCTCCAAGAGAATGCCGGAAGTAAGCTCCTCCCAAACCTCCACCACCTCTCCTCCCACCATACTACCTCCCACTCCTCCCTCCCTCCCTCCCTCCCTCCCTCTACTCTCCCTACCTCTGTTTCCATACCCCCGTCTGTCTCCAAGTCCGTTTTTCTCTTGCATTTGTTTGCTCTTCGCTCGGACACAGGCCTGTGTCTCTTGTTTCCTCTCGTAGTAACACCACCTCCGGCTGACTCCTTCTATACTCTCCGGGCCTGAGTCTCCCATTTCCTCGTCTTTCGTTTTTCTAGCTGTTTCTTGACCCCGTTTGGTTGCCTGTATGTTGCTCTTGTAGTTCTATTTTCTCGATCACCCTAAATCTGTTAAAATCCCACTTTATTTTCCTGCCTTGAGGGATGGCTGGATTGCATTGTCTGACCTCAGTTAGCTTAACCATCCAGCTAATGTGCATTAAGCCGCTTGATAAAATCCAGGCGTGCATTCCTTTAACCTCCTTTTATTGTTCCACCTTCCATTGTTATCTTTTCTCACGTGCTGCTCGCTCTGAAGACATCGCGCATCGCCTGGAGTCGTCGCGCTACACCATGGACCGTCTGCACTGCAACATGCTGCTGCTGTCGTACCGAGGGTGAGATTTTTTTCCTGAGTCAGTTACAGCCGCATGCGGCATACGCAGGACGCATTGCACATTGCCCCAAGTATTTTTTGCTACGGTATGGGCCGTTTTCCTTGGAACATGCTCCTGCTGCCATACAGAGGGTGAGATGACTCGTACAGTGGGTGAGATGACTCGTACAGTGGGTGAGATGACTCGTTCAGTGGGTGAGATGACTCATACAGAGGGTGAGATGATCTGCTACAGAGTAAGATGACATACGCTTCTTGCACACAGATGTTAAGTTGGCGTGCTACAGGGTGAGATGACGTGAGATGACATGTGAGAGGATGAGCTGAAATGCTGCAGAGTGGGATGCCATATTGCTCCCACATACAGAGGGTGCGTGTGTACAGCCTTTGAGGTGACATGCTGACATGCTGCTGCCATGCTAGCCCACCAAGGGTTGCTCCCACCCACACGGAGGGGCGGTTGACATGCCAGTGCTATACAATGGGTGTGAGGCAAATCCACAGAATAGTTTTGGCCTCGTCCATCACCAAACATTTTACTGTACATTCTTCTCTCTTCCAACCTCTCACTCACTCATGCACACAGGGACACCCTCTCTCTCTCCCTTCCCAACCACACCCACGTGCACACCCCCTCTCCCCCTTCCCACCCACACCCACTCAGATATGGCGTCAGTGAGGGCAAGTTGACTTTTGAGCCGACTCAAAAGTCAGCGCTTTCCCTCTCAATCATGCACGCCTGCGCACCCGCTGCTCCCCCTTCCCACACCTTTTTAGGCGTGTAAAAAAAACCCTCTCTCTCACAAACGCATTCTCACCACCTCCCACACCCACACCCAGCTATGGCGCCAGTGAGGGCAAGATGACTTTTGAGACGACTCAGAATTCTGTCTCCCTCTCATGCACGCACATACACACTCTTCCATCCCTTCCCACCCACTCCCACACCCAGCTATGGCGCCAGTGAGGGCAAGCCATCAGAGCAAGGTGACATTTGAGTCCACTAAAAAAACATCTCTCTCCCTCTCTCACACACACATGCGCAACCTCCTCTCCCCCTTCCCACCCACTCCCACTCACAGCTATGGTGCCAGTGAGGGCAAGCCAACAGAGCAAGGCCTCCGACTGGACGCGCAGGTATGGTGACTGGGGTGACGTATGGTGGTCTGTAATCTTATTTTGGGACGGCATCATTGTGACGGTCTGTATGGCATTTGGGACGTCATCATTGTAACGGTTTGTACCTTATCTTCTGGGACGCGTTCTTCATTCATCATCTCGCTCCCAAGCGCATCATTGGGTCTAAAAGGGTCACTGTATCCCACCCCACCCCACCCTCTTTCACCGCATTCCAACTCTCCTTACCTCATCCAGGCGGCATTGGAGCATCTGCTGGGGGAAGGGAGGACATTAACCCAAAGTGCATCGTTGTCTTTCAAAAAGTCAATGCATCGCATCCCACCCTCTTTCACCGCATTCCACCACTCCTCGCCTTATTCAGGCAGCATTGGATCACCTGCTGGGAAGGGAGGACATAGACCCCAAGCGCATCGTTGTGTTTGGGAGGTCATTGGGAGGGGCTGTTGGGGCCGACCTTGTGCACCGCAACCCTGGCAAGGTCAGTCATGCGCTGATTGGACCACCATGAGCTCATTTCACATGCGGTTCTCCTGGCGCTTTCTTGGAGAGGCAGTTGGGGCCAACCTTGTGCCCCGCGCAATCCTGGCAAGGTTAGTCATGTGTCGTTTGAAACTGGAGGTGCAGGTGGTTTTCAAGGGTACCGTACCACCCGCATCCTGGTTTATGGGCGGTCACTGGGAGGGGCTGTTGGGACTCAAAAGTCGTCTGGAAAGTGCGCTGGTGCTGGCCTAGACAAATGCAACCCTAATTCTGAGTTGTTCGGGAACATATTCACGCCTGTCCCCGTCCTCCATCCTCCTCTCTCCCCTTGTTATTCTCCCTGTTTCCTATCCTCCACGCAGCCGCCCTGGTGGAAAGCAACATTCACATCCGTCCTCGACATGGCAGGGGTCGTTCTTCCTATGCTGACTCCTCTTTTATCTGCTCCCCTCCCCGTCTCCCGATCTGCTAACCCCAGGTAGCCGCCCTGATGGTGGAGAACACATTCACATCCATCCTCGACATGGCATGGGTCGTCCTCCCTGTCCTCAGCAACCTTCGCCAACCCTCCCGATCCCCCCCGATCCCCCCCGATCCCTCCCGATCCCTCATTCCCGATCCCTCCCTCCCTCCCGATCCCTACCTCCCTCCCTCCCGATCCCTACCTCCCTCCCTCCCGATCCCTCCCTCCCTCCCGATCCCTACCTCCCTCCCTCCCGATCCCTACCTCCCTCCCTCCCGATCCCTCCCTCCCTCCCGATCCCTACCTCCCTCCCTCCCGATCCCTCCCTCCCTCCCGATCCCGCCCTCCCTCCCGATCCCTACCTCCCTCCCTCCCGATCCCTCCCTCCCTCCCGATCCCGCCCTCCCTCCCGATCCCTCCCTCCCTCCCTTCCCCCCTCCCCCCTCCCTTCCCCCTCCCCCCCTCCCTTCCCCCCTCCCTCCCTCATTATCTATCCCTCAGGTCGCCGCGCTGGTGGTGGAAAATACGTTCACATCGGTGCTGGACATGGCAGGGGTGGTCCTCCCCGTCTTGAGCAACCTCCTTTCAACCAAGGGCGTCAGGCCACTGAACGGGCTGGTCAGGTCGCAGTGGCGAACAATTGACGTCATTGGGAAGGTGAGGCTTGAGTTTATGCTGGTTGGGTGTTTATCAAATTCAATTCGGGAAAGCGCCCAGTACTGAGCAACCTGCTCTCCACCAAGGGCGTCAGGCCGCTGAACGGGCTGGTTCGGTCGCAGAGGCGAACCATTGACGTCATTGGCAAGGTGAGGCTGGCATTTATAAGCGCGTTTTGTTCAGAGGGGTGACTGGATGGTGGCCCTCCCTGTGCTGAGCAACCTGCCCTCCACCAAGGGCGTTAGGCCGCTCAATGGGCTCGTGAGGTCGCAGCGGCGGACCATCGATGTCATTGGCACGGCGAAGTTTGAACGCTCGGTCGACATGATGCTTTGTATGCTTTCATGTCTATGGGTACGGCCCCCATCCACGATCAACACATGCCTTTTGGAGCCATTTTTCAGAATTCCAAAAAATTGCCACAATACATTATTGGTTCACACACCTTTTGTCCCTTGAGATTCACGCATTCACCCGCGCCTCCCACACCCTGATCCCTAGATCGACCACCGCTTTTGCCTTCCTAGCGAAAACCAGGAGCCTGCTTTTGGTGTGTATGCATTCCAGCTTTTCTTTTTAATGCCTCGGATGTAGCATTCTGTCCTCAACCAACAACCACCAATTAACGTCCTCGTCCTCTCTCTATCGGAGCAAAGGACGAGTCCGTGCCGCCCGCACACATGTGCCTCGAAGCCCAGAAGAACACAACAGGCGGCATCTGCTCTCACACTCCCTTGAACCTTTCACTCATCCCTCCCCACAGGTTGACCCTCCCATTTCATTTCTATTCGGCGCAAAGGACGAGCTCGTGCCGCCCACACAAATGCGCCTACTGTACGCCGAAGCGTAGAGACCCACAGGTGGCAGCTGCTCTTAGAATTCTTCTGCCCGTATCCCTCTACTCTTTCACTACCCCTTCCCCACATGTCAACACCCCAGTTCTCTTTCTATCCGGCGCAAAGGATGAGTGCGTGCCGCCCGCACGCATGCGCATGTTGTACACAGGGGCCCAGACAGACACCACATGTGGCAGCTGCTTTTTACACCCTCTACCCTCATCCCTGTACTCTACCTTTTCTATACCCCTTCCCCACAGGTTGACACCCCGATTCTATTTCTATCCGGCGCAAAGGACGAGCTTGTGCCGCCCGCGCACATGCGCCTGCTGTACACCGAAGCACAGAAGAACACAGTTGGCAGCTCGCTATTCGTTGAGGTGGCGGCAGGGGGGCACATGGACACGTGGCTGAGGGGGGGGCAGCGGTACTGGCGCGTGCTGAGCCTGTTTATAACGCATCATGCTGGAGGGAGTGCAGGGGGAGGGGAGGGGGAGCGAGGAGGGAACGTGGAACTTCTAGAGGAAGTGGATGAGGTGGTGAGGGAGTCGGCAGGAGAGCTGACTTTGAGAAGAGTGGCGGATGGTGCGAAGATGTGATCATTCTGGCTTCACACGCTACATGGGGCTTCGTTTATAATGTTCACCCTGCATCATGCAGGGGGGAGAGTGGGGTGGAAGTGGATGAGGTGGTGAGGGAGTGGGTGGAGGAGTTGATTCTAGGAAGAACTGTAGATGGTGCTAGGCTGTGATGTGAGTGGTTGGTTGGTCATGTGTTTTGATGTTGCTGTGGATGGACCTTCTGCCTGGCCGCTGTTGGAAATATCTCGAGGACTTGAGCGTTTCTGAAGTGTAACACCACACTCGAGAAAGATCGTAATGAGTACGCGAGTCAACGGAGGTTACACGAGGGGGAGGACAAAGAACACGAAAGGACTCGAAGGGTTGCAACCGGAGGTTGCGACTGACCGTTACAGCTGCAAGGATGGTAACCGAAGCGACAATCGAGTCGACTGTACTCAACAACTGCTTCAACTGCTTTACTTTCCTACTTTCTATATATTGCTGTATGCTTGTTCTTTTAATCAATCACTTGTTCTCACATACTAGTACAAGGGTTCAACTACTCAACTCCCGCTGCACTACTCAAGTCTCCTTTTTCAATTGGGACTTAGTCTCTGAAAGATCCGAAGGGCTTTTATCAGCCCAACAGCCGCAATATGTATGGAGGTGCAGTTGAAGTAAGGTACTGGAATGGTTTGGGGAGTGGTTGAGGTGACCATGATGCTGCAAGCTTTTGGGCATGCAACAGTAAGGTGTATCAAGTGGATGAATGGTGCAATGTCACGTCACGCTTCTGTCAGGAGAAGGCAGACAGGAAACTTCTCGATCTTGAGAAAGTACGCTGCACCGCGCTGCACCGGTACAAGGATGATTCAATTACTGAACTTCAGTGTGGTTATGGCTAGAATGCTCCGCGCCATAGAAGAACTAGTCACAATCCCACTACTGGAACTGGCCCAGATCAGGGCTTTGGATCACCTGTTGATAACTTTAGCTCACTATCGGACGGCTGAGCAGCGTGGATTGCCTACTCTCATCGCGGCTTCTAGCCGTGCAAAAATCCCAAATGTCATCATCCCATTATGTCAAATAATATGCACCACCAGCACTGCCCAAATAATAAGCAGCAGTCCACACAACCACCCACACAGCCCACATGTGAGACATCCTCGACAGATCCGAAACGACAGCACCACTTATAACCTTGCAACCCCTCCTACCCCCTGATACGTGGCACGCTCAGTGACTCAGACAGATCCAACTTGGATAAACCACCCGCACAGCCCACCTTGGATCCAACAATCCGAGTGCAATTTCCTCTACTGGCCAATCCCGAGAAGGCCGCCAAACCACGACGCGAATCCGCCAGAAGAGCTGCTCTTGGCGGTGTCAACTGGCGCGGGGGGATTCACGACAGAACTGGTGCTGTGGTAGTCGTCGCGATCGTCGCCGCTGGGCGACTTCCCGGGCGACTTGTGATAGTAGTCGTCGTCGTGATCGTCGCCGCGGCCGGGCGACTTGCTGGGGGAGCCGCGAGAGGGGGAGCGGGAGGGGGAGCGGGAGGGGGAGCGACTGGGGGAACGGGAGGGGGAACGGCTGGGGGAACGGGAGGGGGAACGGCTGGGGGAGCGGGAAGGGGATTTCCCGGGGGACTTGTAGTAATCGTCGTCGTCGCGATAGCCGGGCTTGCCGGGCGACCTACTCGGCGACTTTCCGGGCGACTTGTAGTCGTCGTCGTCGCGGTATCCCGGCGACTTGCTGGGCGACCTGCTCGGCGACTTTCCAGGCGACTTCTTCTTTCCCGCGGATTTCACGGGCGACTTGGAAGGCGACTTGTAGGGAGACCTTGAGGGCGACTTGGACGGCGATCTGTAGTAGTCGTCCGACGACGAGTGGTCGCCGTCGCTGTCGTGATAGCCGCCGCTGCTGCTGTGATCGTCGCCGTCGTGGTGATCGTCGTCGTCATGATAGCCGCCGCTGGAGAGGTCGCCGTCGTCGCTGTCTAGGGTGGAGTAAGAGCTGCTTTTGGCGATGTCAACTGGCGCGGGGGGATTCACGACAGAACTGGTGCTGTGGTAGTCGTCGCGATCGTCGCCGCTGGGCGACTTCCCGGGCGACTTGTGATAGTAGTCGTCGTCGTGATCGTCGCCGCGGCCGGGCGACTTGCTGGGGGAGCCGCGAGAGGGGGAGCGGGAGGGGGAGCGGGAGGGGGAGAGACTGGGGGAACGGGAGGGGGAACGGCTGGGGGAGCGGGAAGGGGATTTCCCGGGGGACTTGTAGTAATCGTCGTCGTCGCGATAGCCGGGCTTGCCGGGCGACCTGCTCGGTGACTTTCCGGGCGACTTGTAGTCGTCGCCGTCGCGGTATCCTGGCGACTTGCTGGGCGACCTACTCGGCGACTTTCCAGGCGATTTCTTTCCCGCGGATTTCACGGGCGACATGGAAGGCGACTTGTAGGGAGACTTCGAGGGCGACTTGGACGGCGATCTGTAGTAGTCGTCCGACGACGAGTGGTCGCCGTCGTGATAGCCGCCGCTGCTGCTGTGATCGTCGCCGTCGTGATAGCCGCCGCTGGAGTGGTCATCGTCGTTGTGACCGTTGTGGTCGTCGCTGTCGCTGTCGAGGGTGGAGTAGGCGCCGCCGGCTGCCAAGGCCTGGACCAGACCGCGGCGAGCGACGTTCACGGCGCTGTGCTTGCCTGAAAGAATTCGTAGAAATTATGATTCAGTCACACGAAATCAACTGCTGTAATCCCGGAATCAGCGAACAGGAAGAGAAGGGATTGCGTGTACGAAATGCAGCAACTTACTTGCGACGAGGTTGTTGCTCTGTGCGACGGTCGCGGAAATGGTAAGAGCCAGCAGCGCGAGGAGGATGGCACTGCTTGGCAGCAGCAGCCCGCTACGAGTCGCCATGGTGGCGTCTCTCTCACGTGAAAGTGAGCTAGAGGCTGAAGCTGGCGACGATGGCGGTGGTGGGCTAGCCTGGCCGAAGTGGGGTGGTTCTTCGTCGAAGAAATTTTGAGCATTTGTAGGTGGACTGGCCTTGGACTGGGTTGGGGAAAGGGGAGAATCATTGGGGAAAGTGGTCGGGGGAGATCGAAACGAAACGCGGCTCGACTTGAGAAGGTGTGGCATGGCGAATGGAAACAGAAACAAATGTGGGGGAATGGTGAACGCAGGCAGCAGGGGAGGAATGAGGGGAGGGAGGCTGGGGGAGATTGAGGATGGAAGCGGATTTGGGGAAGAGGGGGAGAACTCACCGGAGAGCCGTGCGCAGGCTCATTGCTGCGCGGCTGGCCCAGACTAGAGAAGGGTGGCCCGCGGTTCGCGGGCGAAAGGGGAACCTCGGAAGGACTTCGCGTGTGTTCGAGGGGCTAAACAGTTATTGTTTCTGCTAAGCCTTGGTCTAGTAAACGGCTGTTCGAATTTTAACCCTCCAGTACTAATTTTGCAGTAATCCACGGGCCCGAGAAGTTGGAGAGTCAGGTCTCCCATCTTGGTTTCAAATTACGGAAATACATGTTGCAGGCTATATTTCCCATTACCCAGCACTTTGGGGTCATTTCAAGATTGTATCGACATACTTCAAGCAAACTTGAGCTGTAAGCGGGCAGGTGGCACGTGTTCACACAGGTGGCTGTACCGAATTGGACCACCTCCTGAGGAAGCGTATACTTGGGGCCTGTCTCGGTTTCTGCGTGCACACTAGCCTTCGTGGCAACCGTTCAATGGTTGCACATTCCAGCACATCACCTGAGCGATTCGGGTTGACGGTTTCGCGCATGCGCTTGTAGTCGTACTTGACCATGTGTGTCGCAAATGATTGACTGACAACGACGAACCACTGGGCGACTCTCTGATATGGACCTGTCTCACCAAGACTTCAAGGGCCGACCTCGTTAGCATAGCACGAGGCTTGTACGTGTACGAGGCGAGCTGTATTTATCATTGTTTTTTCACATCGGTTATATTAGTGAAATATGTGAAATGAGACATTCTTACATTTGGATTATCTCACTTGCTATACATAAAGTGTATTACGCTATGTATAAATGGCGCTGTTTTCAAAGAACCTCGTCAAATGACTTTTTGGGTTGTGTGGCAACTTGGCCCAAAGAAGTTAGGCCGAAAATGCCTGAAAGTTTGTACATCGGAGTGGTTTTTAGGGCATACCGGTACCTTGTGTCGACCAACTTCCAGGTAGGTCAGTTACAAAATATCAAAAATTCAAATAACCGGGAATAAGCATGACCAGCAGACCCATAAGCATCCTCATTTGTTTTTAATAAGCTGAATTGAGGTAGACTGCCACACCAAGGAGAGCCGCGAGGATGCCGGCCACCAGAACAGGGAGGGACGCGCTGAATGCACGTGAGGGGCAGCCGGAGAAGAAAACGGAACAGTGAGACAGGGATGGGGACGAGGGGAAGACGGTCAATGAATGGTGGGTAGAAGGTCACACCAAGAAAAGCAGCTAGGATCCCGGCCACCAGCACAGGGAGGGAGTCGCTGAAAGCGAGTGAGAGGCAGCGGAGAAGACAAGGGAGCAGAGGCACAGGGATGGGGAAGCAAGTTGGGCAATGAAGAGGCGGGTAGAAGGCTGCACCGATGGAGCAGCAAGGATCCCGGCTACAAGCACAGGGGGCGGGGCGCTGATAATGGCGGAAGAGGACAGGGGCAGTGTGGGAGAGGGACAAGGATTAGGCAGAAAGCCACACCAATGAGAGCAGCGAGGATCCCAGCCACCTGCGCAGGGAGCGATGCGCCCATGGGAAAAAGCAGGGGAGAGGGAAGTGGGGAAGCGAGGAAGCGGGGAAGCAAGGAAGCGAGGAAGCGGGGAAGCAAGGAAGCGAGGACGCGGGGACGCGGGGAATCGAGGTAGAAGGCCACACCACGGAGAGCAGCGAGGATCCCGGCCGCCAGCACAGGGAGCAAGGCACTGATAATGGGGGGGAGGGGCATAGCGTGGAGGAGAGGGACAATAATGAGGTGGGCAGCAGGGAACAGGAAGGAGGAGACGGGAAAGACTGACATAGAGGTAAGAAATGGGTGTGGTTTGGTTTAGGGTTAGGGGAGTTAGGGGAGGGGAAACACGAAACATGAAAGAGGAAATGAGAAATGTAGACATCGAGGTAAGAGATGTGTGTGGCATGGGGTTAGGGTAAGTGAAGCAGGAAGGAGAGGAGAGAGGCTGGGAAAAGGAACTAGGGGGGGGAGGGAACAGGGGAAAAGGAGGGAAAAAGGGAGGCGGGGGGGGGGGGAGGGGGGGGGAGGGGGGGGGGAGGAAGAGGACGAGGGGCGAAGGGCGGGTGTGTTTGTGGAAAGGGGCCGGTTTTGGGGATCATGGTTTGGATTTGGAGGAAAGACGGAATGACATGCGCTGGGGAAAATAGCCACGGGGAAAATGGTGGACCTCTTTGTGTGATATCGTTTTTGGTTTGAGACGCCACAGACGCCTCAACGCCAGATTACTATCGCTGAGGAGCGGAGCCGCCCACGAGGGGAAATGGCGGGCCTCTCCATTTCCCCACAGACGCCTCAAAAGTAGATCCCTATCGCTGGGGCACACAGCCACGACGAGATACCTTGGGCTTCTCCCCCCTGTGCGCCTTTCTTGAAGCGCTCTTCTTTCCTGCGGCCCTCACCTCCGCCTCACCTCCGCCTCACCTCCGCCTCACCTCCGCCTCACCTCCGCCTCACCTCCGCCTCACCTCCGCCTCACCTCCGCCTCACCTCCGCCTCACCTCCGCCTCACCTCCGCCTCACCTCCGCCTCACATGCTTTGCATGCAAGGAGGTGTTGTCGCTGCCCACCCCTGTTCCCCTCACCTCCCCTCACCTCCCCTCACCTCCCCTCCTTCCCCTTCCCCTTCTTACCCGCCTCCCCCGACTCTTCAGCTGCGCCTTGCGTGCCTGCGCACGGCCAGGTCGCTGGCATTGTGCGCATTCTCCCCCTCACTCCCCTCTCCAATCCCCCCTCACCTTCCCCGCACTCCCTCCCCCCGTCCCCTCCGCCCTTGAGCTGCGCCTTGCGCACGTCCAGGTCGTTGGTAGTCCGCACACCATCCCACCCCCCCCCAAACCCTCGTTTGCTTACTGCCCCTCCCCTCCGTCTTCCCCTCCGAAGCGCCTTACCCGTCCCCGCCGCCTTTCAGTTGCGCCTTGCGCGCGTCCAGGTCGTTGGTATTGCGCACACCTATCTCACCTGTCCCCCCCTCTGATTCTGTGCCCCCCCCATCCCCCCCATCCCCCCCATCCCCCCCAAAAAGCCTTACCCGCTGTCCCCGCCGCCCTTGAGCTGCGCCTTGCGCGCCTTGCGCACGTCCAGGTCGTTGGCGTTCCGCGAAACGGGCGCAGTGTACGGCTTGAAGCGGCGCTTGGGCGCGGAGCACACTGGCGGAGACGGAAAGGGGCAAAGAGCGGGGGCGGGTGGTGGGGGGACGAGGAGGGGGGAGGGGGGAGCCTCGGATGGAGCTGACGCTGTGACAGAGTTACCTAACTGCAAATATCTTTTTGAGATTTTCTTAGATCTATTTTTATTTTTTCTCAAAACCTACCAACGCGTAATGTGTAAGGTATACTGGACCGCGTAAGGTAAAGCCCTTTACAACCGTCCAGTAAGAATCGCAAGACCGATTTCGCGTCGACTCAGAATAGAGATGCACCAGCACCACCGTACCTGGGCATCGGTAGGTGTCTGGAAGCTTCTCGAAGGGCGTCCGCGAGTTGTAGATGTACCTGCAGTGGGGAAGACGCGATTAAAGTAGACCAACGGGAAATGAAGTCACTTGAGTTACCAGGCGCTACTTGAGCAAGCAAAGGAAACAATCTGAAAATGTACCCCAGACACGCACGCGGAAACGTAAGGCACAGGAACAGAGTCAGATGTACGGACACGGGCATGACACGTGGCGGATATACAAGTCCACCTTAAGGCTCACCCGCAGTCCCGGCAGATGTAAGCGCTCGCCATAGTCACGCGCGGCGGCCCGGAAGCGCCACCCGATAGTGTCAACGGCGCCGCATTGGCGACGCTGACAGCCGCCGAGGAGATCGCGCCGCGGGACGAGCGGAGGCCCGCGCTGCCCGCGAGAAGCGGGGAAGGCTTCGGCTTGGCAGCGGCGGGAGTCGCGGCAACGGCGCGGGGAACCGACGCGAGGGAGTGCGTGAGTGCCGTTGTGCACGCCATGATTACTACTGATGCAATGTGCGGCTTGGCTTGTGGAATGACGGTGTGTAGTGGTGTGCAGGATTTCACTTTGATCGCGAGGGGAGGATGCGATGTGCTGGCGTGCGTGAGAGAAGGCGCACGAGAACGGCTCAGCGGTAAAGGAGAACGGAGCAGGCGGTACTAGGTCTCTGCGATGCGGAACGTAGACCGACGGCTTCCGTTGTTTGCTCCAGCTTCCCTTCGTTAACCTCTGGCTTAGGCCAAACTAGCTGTTTCCTCTGCTGTTACTCCTGCCAAAGCCAACGAAACTAGAACTTGAGAATTTTAGGACCTGTTCAGACAGACGTTTTCACACATCCAGGGATCTTTCTTAGCCAGTTCAGTTCTACTCGATTTGTGTGATGGCTCACCTTGCACTGGTTTCCCAGATGCAGGAAAACCCTGTAGGGTACTTCGATTATGACGTGTCCGAAGTGTTTGTTTGCGGTTGAATAAGGTTGGGAGATATTAACTAAACTAAAAACGCACTCTTGGGACACGCCCTTCAAACCCTGAACACGTAACACGAAGCCACTTCGCGATTGGTTCATCGGCGTCATCCGTTGTCTAGATGACGGAAGCGCTACGCCCTTATTGATACGAAGAGTTTCCGCATGGTTGACAGGATTCTGGATGTGAATAGATGACGGGGCGTGCTGAGGGTGTGTGGCTGTCCAGATCTTGCCACGCTGGATGGAGTTCTCTACACATGGCTCGGAAGAAGCGATGACGCGTGGCGTGGCGCGTGCTGGTTCGATGTGGCATGTGGCTCTCACAGGTTTTTTGCATCCTCGGTATGAGATGTTTAGATTTGTATGAGCATTGCGAGTCAGATGCTGTATCTATTAGCACGAAAACATTGCAGTATTTATCACCCTCGATCCGTCGCTGACGGCCCTGTGACGTGTCATCGTCAGCGACAATTTCGCCGCAGACCCATCAAGCTGACATCACTCTACTTTTCTCTCATCGCCAGTATGCGAACAAACTTATCAAAGAGCATGCAGAACGTTCCCATCCCAGTGAGCCCCTGTCTGCGAATTCGATTGGTCGCATCCAAAGCAGAACAAAGAAAGGAATGTGTGGCACGTGAGCAATCGAGAACAAGGTAACTCAACGAGGTTCGCCAATCGTCAATGACGCATGGGTCCGCACGAACAGACCAGGGCAGCAAACGAAATCTTCCTACAATAAACTATTTCGCCCCTCCCTCGCATTCGCCCGCATGTCATTCCTTTGCCTCCTCACCTCTCCTGCATCACACCTAGCAGCAGCATTCATTCGCGATTCCCCAGCGCATTAGCTGACATTCCCGATTGAGGGACATTAGTATCTCTCCTCAACCATCCCTTACCGGTTTCTCCTCGGGCTATTCATCGCAGTTACCTCAATTCTCCGCGCGAGCATTGTCAACGCCAAGGGCAGCGGCTGAAAATCGACGCCAATGTCATCCGCCCAAGTCGATGCAGACCTCTGCGGCGCCTCTCCCGGCTCATCGCAACCGCCACGCATTTCCGCCGCTTCTCTTCCGCACGGCCCCGTCGGGAAATCAGGGCCTGTTTTCGGCGAGTTGACGGCCGCCAACTGGCGGAAATGGGCGGCTAGCCGGTTGGAGCAGAAGGCGCAGCCACAGCACCCGTCGGAAAGTGCATCACCGCTCGCTGAGCGAGTCGACGAAGCGCGAACTCTCGCCTTATTAGTACCAGGCGATCCGTCAGTTCGCGGTCCGTCAGTTCAAGTTCCGTCAGCACTCGGCCCACAGACGCCTCAGCCGGAAGGCCACTGTGAGGCGTGCTGTGAACGCCGCTCTGCTGGACACTGTGGCTTCCAGACTAACCGGCGTGGTCCCGCGTGCAAGCGCACAGGCGAAGCGCTTTTCGGCTGCGGTGCCACGTGGCAGCCCCTCATTCCGGGGCTGCCGGATGACGTGGCGGAACTGTGCCTCATCCAGCTTCCACGAACCTTCCTCCAGCAGTGCAGGTAGCGTGCGTATGGGGAGGGAGGGAGGGAGGGGGGGGGAGGACGAGACGCAGATGTGTGGGTTTGTGCGAGTCGGATGAGACGCCAATTAGGTGCCCTTATGTTGTCACGTGACCGCAACTTACTGTAAGATTCAGCACCTGCATTCTTGTGTAGGGAGGGGGGGGTTGATCAGCCTCCAGTGTACGACGAGACGGTGTGAGCGGGCGGTTGATGTGTGATCCACGCCACGTGTCTTTTCACCTCTTCTTCTCTCCCCCCTCCTCCTCTTTCCATCCCTCTCCTCTTGGTACTGGGTCAAAGAAATAGTTGAGATGGTATGCGAGTCCACTCAAAAGGGTCCTTTCCGTCCTTTTGTTCTCCATTCTCCGTCTCTCCTGTTCGCGTTGCTCATCCTTGAGGCGCCTAAAAATCTCTGCCGTTCGTCTCCCTCATCCTGTGTGCTCGACCTAACCCATGGCAAGTGAACCCCCGGAAGTTCCTACTCGGCCCGTGTTGCCAACTCTCCCTTCCCCTCCCTCTCCCATCCCTCCCCTTGTATCAACGCCAGGAAAGTGAACAGAACATGGAGGGAGTTTTTAGACAGCGCGCGCTGCCTGCGCCTTCGAACCGCCGCCAATCGCCTTGAGCCGTGGCTGTTCGTCCGGGCAGTCGGGCAGCCGAGGAAACATTTCGAGTGGCACACATTTGCGGAGAGTGCAGGATGGCGAAAGGTCCGCCGCCCGCCCTCTGCCAACCAGCTGCATTGTCTTGAGACGAATAAAAATAAAAACGGCCGCCCGCCCACTACCGACCATCCGGAGGGCTGTGCTGACCAATGGGAGGCGTCAGGGGTGGGGTGTGTGGAGCTGGACAGGTGTCTGTACGTGATTGGGGGAACGGGGCCGGATCGCAAGAATCCGTTGGCTGGCACTTTGAGGTAAGAGTGACTAGGTATGGTGAAGAGGGATGGAATCCTGGCACCCCCTCTCAGAAATTGTGCCCGTCATAGTTTCCAATCTCCCTACAGCATTCCCTTTGTTCTCCATTTTTTGTTTCTCCACATCTCTGTGCTCCACATCTCTGTGCTCCACATCTCTGTGCTCCACATCGCTGTGCTCCACATCGCTGTGCTCCACATCGCTGTGCTCCACATCGCTGTGCCCCACATCGCTGTGCCCCACATCGCTGTGCCCCACATCGCTGTGCCCCACATCGCTGTGCCCCACATCGCTGTGCCCCACATCGCTGTGCCCCACATCGCTGTGCCCCACATCGCTGTGCCCCACATCGCTGTGCCCCACATCGCTGTGCCCCACATCGCTGTGCCCCACATCGCTGTGCCCCACATCGCTGTGCCCCACATCGCTGTGCCCCACATCGCTGTGCCCCACATCGCTGTGCCCCACATCGCTGTGCCCCACATCGCTGTGCCCCACATCGCTGTGCCCCACATCGCTGTGCTCCACATCCTATCATCCCTCGTTTCTCCTGCCGGATCTTGTTTGTTTTTGGCCGCATCCCATTCCTCAGGTACGACCCCCAGACTGCCCGCTGGGCCTGCTTGGCCAATCTCATCACTCCACGCAGCTTCTTTGGCTCCTGGTCTGCCCGGGGAGAAATCTTCGTGGCGGGCGGCAATGCGGCAGAGCTTGAAGAGATCAAATCAGCGGAGGTCTTCCAGCCAGAGAGTGACATGTGGCAGTCCATCCCACCTCTGCCCTCGGCACTGTCCAGCTTTGGGGCGGCGTGCTTTGGCGGGACTCTGTTTCTGACGGAAGGGTGGCAGTGGCCGTTCCACTTCTCACCTCGTGGATTCTCCTGTCCTCTTTATAAGCTCTTCCGGGATAAGGGAAGGGAGGACCTTAGTGCGCCAGGTAGAACGGGAGAAGTTTCGGGAGGTTGGAGAGGAGCGGAGGGAGGGGGAGAGGGAGGGGAGACGAGTAGGGTAGGAGAGATTCAAGGATTTGAAAACCCTGGGGGAGAGGCAGCAACAGGAGTTGGTGAGCGTGGTGGGAGGAGGGCATTGGAAGGCAGTGATGAGGCTGTCGCAGCAGCTGAAGCAACTGAGGATGTGGATGTGGAAGGGCCGTGGGAGTCCATGCGCGAGGGCATGGCGGAGGGGTGGACAGGAGTGGGTGCCGTGGTGCACGGGACGCTTGTCACGCTGGTGCAGGAGGGGCAGACGCGCAGGTACGTGCTGGGTGTGGTGCGTGTGCTGGTAATTCCGTTTTGGTGCCCCATGCTCTGACTCATGGACAGGTGGGTCCTGTGGTGGTGGCATGCTTGACACTCTGGTGCAGGTGGGGCAGACTGGCACTCTGGTGCAGGTGGGGCAGACTCGCAGGTGCGTTCATGGTGCGGTGAGGTGCGTTGTTGGGTGGGTCACAACAGCATGGGCATGAGTGGGTGCCATGAATGCTCCACTGCTCCACTGCACCCACTCGCATGAATGCTCGGCGGGTCACAGGTGGTTGAAATGGAGCATTCATGGCGCCCTTATCCATGACACGCAGATGCATGTTTTTTTAGAGTTCCGAAAGAAAGAAAGGAAGGAAGGAAGAAAGAAAAATAGTAAGAAAGAAAGACAGAAAGAAGGAAAGGCAGAAGGAAAGAAAGAAAGAAAGAAAGAAGAAAACTATGTGCTGGTGATTTGCAACAGCTGCTTCTTTTCTTGGATAACGTCCTCTTCCTGCCCCTGGACCGCTCTCCCCCTTTTTGGCTCTCCCCCTTTTTGGGCATACTTTCCCCTTGCCGCCAGCCTCTTTTCCTATTGCCCGGGTACTGACAAGTGGCAGCAGCTCATTGGCCCACCATTGCCCCTATTCCTGCGCCCACCCCTGCGTATAACCGTGGGTGGCGACGATTCTCTTTTTGTCATTGGGCGAGGGTTGGAGGTGGTGGTGGGGAAGATAAGCAAGGAGGGTGGTAGGAGGTGTTGCACGATGGGTGCTAATTCGTCGGCGGGAGGCGCGGGGAGTTTGAGGAATTTCGAAGTGGGTAGTGAGAATGGGGGGCGAGAAGCACAGCAACCAGAAGAATGGGGCGTGCAGAGGGAGAGTGGCAATGGCTACACATATGAGGAGACTAGGCTCCGGGTTGACTGGTTGTAGCAACGAGGAGATGTTTCTTCGTCAAAACTTGCTCCAGATGCATGTGTTGTTGTAGTGATGTGATATTCTTGATTCAGTTATGTCAATGCAAGCCTTAGTGGAAGGGTTTTAACAGGGTTTTTCCTGAGTCATGCATAAAATGTTAAAAACCGAAAACGGGTGCCATGTTATGTTGCAACTTCCCTTCGCCCTTGTGTTAGTGAGGCGATGTAACATTACGTTAGTGAGGGAGTTGTGCAACATCCGCAGAGTCAATCAATAACGAGTATTTTCAGGTTGAGTGAAACGTGACGGCATGAACCAGGGTGCCGGCTGACCTACGGGGCGGAGGAAACTGGCACCTCACCTCGCCCAGCCTCACCTCCCCTCGTCTCCCGTCGCCAGGGCAGCTCCTGGTGGAAAAACATTTTTCACCAACCAACCATTCAATCACGTGAGAAACTGCAAGCCGACAGCTTTGCCGGTGAAGAAAGCCACGGCACGGCAGCCGCTTGGCACTTCCTTGAGCAATTGGTGTGTTGCTCCCAAAACCCGAACGCCTCCTGCGAAAGGGTTTCACACCATCCATTCAATTTTCGTCAAATTGCAAGCCGACAGAATCGCTCCTCGCACGCGCGGTTTCACATGTCGTTCAATCTCGCCAAACAGCAAGCCGACAAATGTGCCGGTCCGCGCCATCTGCCCGCGCCCTTCGTGGCGTGTGCCACATCACCCACCCACTCGTCCGTAATTTTTCCAAACGTCACGGGCACGCGAAAACGCGTCCAGAACCGCTTGTTCTCCCCCAACCACATCTGAACCAGTCAGGAGCGCCGTGTGCCAGTGGAATCTACGGCTCGACGAATCAGGATTCGGATGCGAGCTTGCGACTGCGGCTACAAAATCTGCCCCTGCATTGACCTCCATCATCCAAGTTGTTTCCTCGTCCCATCCACAACTTCGTCATCACATTTTCCCGTCAGTCAGCTGCGCCATTCATACACTCCATGAAAAACAGGTGCTCAGACACACAGGAGACAGTACTAATCTAAGGCAACGGCGACACTTGTGCCACTCTGCTCCATAGCATTGTCTCTCAGCTTACCCTAATCTCCGCCCTCCATCGCCATTTTCAGCCGCATTCCCACCCACGCTACGCCTTCCATCCGCTTCACTCGCTACCACCGTCAAACGACCGCATTATGGCCGCCACTCAGCAGCCCTCTGCTACGACCGTTCCAGCCGCGTCGTCCGAGTCTTGGGAGGACGCGATGCGCACCGAGCTCGCCGCGTGGTTCGCCGACTCCGACTGGACCGACGAGGCGCCGTCAATGACGGTTTCCGTCGGATCTAACGCCCTCTGTCAACTTAACGGAGTCGCGACCGTCGGCCTTCCGCCGGACGCGGTCTTCTCGATCGTCTGCGACCCGCACAACCGCCGCGTCTTTAAGAACATCAAGTCCGTTAAGAACGAGCGCGTCATTAGTGACTGTAACGGGGTGAAGGAGCTCGAGATGGACATGGTGTTCACGTTCCAGCTGCCCTTCTTTACAGGCACGTTCGAGGCGCACATGCGCATGGTGCACGACCGCCCGAACCGCAAGATGTCCTTTGCCCTTACGCGCCCCGGCCTCATGCGCAAGTTCGAGGGCTTCTGGCAGGTCGAGCAGCTTGTAGTCCCCGTTTCCGCCGCTTCCGCTTCCGCTGCCTCCGCCACTTCCGCCACTTCCGCATCATCCGCCTCTTCCGCTTCCGCCGCCACTTTCGCTCCCCCCTCCCCGCTATCCGACTCCTTCCGCTCCGACAGCCTCGGCGAGAGCGACTGGGACAGCAGCAGCGCCAGCAGCAGCAGCCCGAGCCGCGACTTCACCACCACAGAGCCCAGCGCAGATCTCGCCTCATCCCGCGGCGCGCGCGTGGCGTCGCGGCTGGTGCTGCATCAGGTGGTGCAGCCGTCCGTGGCGCCGCCCGCCATCTTCAAGCGGTGCATCCACATCGTGCTGCAGATGGCCACTAAAGACGTGCTGAGCGTCTTCCAATGCGAGGCCAAGGCGATTAGGAGCCGCAAGGGGCAGCAGGAGGAGGGGACGCGAGGAGGCGAGGGGAAGGAGGAGAAGAAGGGAGGAGGGAAGAAGAAGGACGGAGTGGAAATTAAGGCCGCTGCTGTGGCGGGGGCTGTGGCTGGGGCTGTTGCCGGTGCTGTTGTGGGTGCTGCTGCTGGGGTTGCTGTCGCAAAGAATGCCGATTCAATCACGCTCGCATCTCGCGTGTGGGGACTCATGAGGAGCACAGCTTAGGCGTGTCAATAGACCAACGTGGCGCGCTCTCTGCAGGAAGTGAAGGGAGAATGCGTGTGCTGCTGCTGCTTCCACCGTTGGCGCTCGCCGCGGGTGATTTGCCGTGTTGTTCTGGGGAATAATTGTTTGTAGGTGCGTGCCGTCGCTCCGCACCACGTCCGGGGGCTCTACCTTGGTGCTTGCTCTGGGTTGTGTTGTGTGTGTTCAACAGGCATTGGGCTCGCTGTCTGCGACTGTTGAGTCAGAAGCTGTGAGTCAGAGGCGGCGGCAATAGGCAGCAGATGTTGGGTTGTGTGTCAGAGCTCAAGGCTTTGGGATGCCATCATGCCATCATGACCCTCCCAACTCTTTGAACCCTGATTTCTTTACGTTTCTTTAGAATTTTGTACATGGTTAGTGTAATAATTTGACAGGTGTTGCAGGAGACTAAGTACAGAATCTGCAAACATGAACACTTGGAAAACCTCAAGTGTCAGCCTAGGAACTTTACTGGAATGGTAGACTAGTAAGACAGCGGAAGTCTTGTAAAAGTGAACCTGAGTATATAATTCTGGGGAAGTCAAGGTCAAAATTCTTCGAAGTTGAAATCTCAAGGTTAATAAAAAAAAGACACCACAAGGATTTATAGCTCTAGAAAAAGTACCTATTTGCTAATGCACTTGTTCGTCACTATCGCGCTATGCGCCCTAGATGATAATGAAGATATGCGACTGTTCGCGTGACTGAAACGACTGTCCTATGAAGAGCGCTATTTGCTGACGTCATCCTACGGACTTATCTTCTTCAGTAGGATTCGACACGATCTATCGATAAACGACATACAGAAATGCTAAATATGAATTATACCACAACACTCCCCTTCATTTCTGGAAGTCCGATAGTGTCACTTCTTGAAGATCCCGCAAAGCTTGTTACAATACTGAAACTTCTGTCGTGTCAGCTTCTTCGTGAAGAAATCGGCAGCCATTTCGTTGGTCGAACAGTAGACCAATCGCATCCTCCCCTTCTCGACTTCACCATTGACGAAAAAGTAACGCAGTGAAGTATGTTTCGTCCTGTTGATGAAGCCAGGCTGATGCGCGATGCGAATTGCACTTTGGTTGTCGCACTGCAGAATAAACTGGGTACTCGTCGTCAACTTCGCTTCTTCCAATAGTTCCTGCAGGTTAAGTCCTTCGCGTGTTGCTGTGCAAACAATGATAAATTCAGCTTCAGCAGAGGAGAGAGCAATCAACTCCTGCTTCGTCGAATTCCAAGAAATAGGCCCGATAGGTTTAAGCCGGTAGATGAACCCAGTACGTGAGCGTCGATTAGTAGTATCAGCAGCGCGATCGGTGTCGACGAAACCGTGTAGGTACAAGGTTTTACAGCCGATGACGTTGTAGACTAATCCGACGTCAGGTGTCGAGACGAAATACTGAGGCGCACAAAGAAGATCGAGGTGATGTTCTTCTTCAGGTCGGCGTAGGAACTGAGCGAGCTGACTGGCCGCGTAAGCTAGATCTGGACGACAAGTAACAGCGGCGAAGAGTAGACAGCCTAACTGCTATTGCTAGGTCTGTAAATCTGTTGGACTTAACGGTGCAGTATTCGGTTTGTGGTCAGTCTGTAGTGAGCGGTACGGTGTAGAGACTGCAGTAGGAGTGAGGTTGAAGCGGGCAGCGGGCGTCGCTGCGTACTTCGAAGCAGTGAGGTGAATAGACGTCGGTGAACAGGTAATGTTTAGACCGAGAAACTGTGAGACTGTTTCGGAGACGGTAAGCTGTAGAGTTTTCTGTAGTTTCAGTATGAAGGTATCGGCAAGGGAATCGGTAGTACTGACGTAGAGGATATCGTCGACGTAGGTGACGAGTAAAATATAGTTGCTGCCGTCAGTTAGAAGATACATTCCTTGATCATGCGGCAATTGTCGAAATCCGATAGCGATAAGCTGTGAGTGAAGGTACTGTTGCTAGAGCCGGGGTGCCTGTTTAATGCCGTATAGCGATTTTTCGGAGACGGCATACGCTCGGTGGGTTAGTAGCATAGGAATGCGGGTACTCTACCAGTATGAGTGCGTCGACGGGTGCATAGAGAAATGCGTTTGCCACGTCGATTTGTCGAAGTCGTAGATTACGGCAGGCGAGGACACAGAGTAAAATCCGAACACTTGTATGTCGACCGACATGAGCAAAATTTAGCTCGTAGTCGATGCCGTAAGTCTGCTCGAACCCGCGGACGACCCATCGCGCCTTGAACTTCTCGAACGACCCATTTGCATTAGTTTTGACGCGGAAGACCCATTTTCCGGTGAGTACCTTCTTCCCTTTTACTTCTGATGTCAGTATTAACTCCCATGTGCCATAACTCTTGAGAGCTGCTACCTCCCTGTCCATGGCTTCACGCCATTTTTCGCGGTGTGGACTCGTAAGAGCTTGTCGAACGGTTTTCGGTTCAGGTATTTTGCTGTCGTTGTACCGTACTGCTACTGCGAATCCAAGTATCTGTAAGCCGGTTTCTGTAAAACGTGGACGTTCTTCGTTTGCACCTGCGAAATTTTCTTCTGCTCCTTCTTCCCCCCCAATTTTGTCAGGTGTAACACGAACTACTTCGTCGGAGACGACGGGCATCGGCTGCTGTTGACGATCGTGTTCGTAACTGAGGTGGACTTCGCGAACGTCATCCGGGTCAGCATCTGCAAGAGGAATAAATTCCGGGACGCTAGTCAACGTAACAGGTTTGGGAATATCCGTTGCGGCAGCTTCTGAGGCTTCATATACTGCTTTGTCCTGTACATCAGCTTTGGCTTTGTCAGTTGCAAAAGCACGCGAGCCTTCGAACAGCCTGGCGCGGTTGGCAGCTACTCCCTGGTGGGCACGAAAAAACTGGCAAGGTGAGTATTTCGTAGAAGAGACAATCACGTGAAGGGACGATTTTGTTGGAGCGAAGATCCAAAAATTTCCACGCGTGATACTGTTTTTCGATGCCGAGGTGTACCCCCCACTTTGCCCGTTCGGAAAATTTGCCGAGTGCTGCACTTGGAAGACGAAATTGTACAACACACCCAAAAAATCGTAAAAGTTTGGTACTTCCCACTGTTCGTGTCCACTGCAGGTGCGGAGAAGAAAACTCAGGCAGTGACGTGGAAGACAGCAGGTTGTGTAACAGGACGGCATGGTCCATCGCATACGACCAAAAGTGAGGAGGAAGAGCTGCCTGTGTCAGCAGGGCACGCATCTTCTCCTGTAGAGTTCGATTCATCCTTTCCGCTACCCCCATCTGTTGGTGTGCATGCGGCAGTGACTGCTTCCGTTTGATGCCGAGGGTTTGGAGGTAGTCGGTGAAGGTGGTGCTCGTGTATTCCCCTGCGCCATCACTCTGCGCAGTTTCACGCCAGACTCTCGTTCAGCGACAGCGAGCCATGCGACGAATGCAGAATGAGCAAGATAACGAGCAGGAAGGTTTGCTGTCCAAACGTAGCGTGTAGATGCTTCGATGATGGTAATCACGTACTGCTCTTCTTTAGGTCCTGCTTCAAGTAAGTTTAGTATGTCGCTGTAGACTTTCTGCATTAGTTTATAACGTGTTGAGCCAGGAAAATGATTCGGAAACGGATCGTGGGTAAGGTTGACGACCGGACACGTGGTGCAAACCGTCGGACGAGAGAGCGGCTTCATCTCCGTGCCGTCAGGTAAAAGTAGACCGTTTTTATCAAGAACTGCTGCGCGGATGGAATGATTTAAAATTCCTTGCGACGGATGCCCTAACCGCTGATGCCAAATTTCCTCTGTGGCTTTGTGTCTTGATGATCGCAGGTAAAAGTCGGCGTTAGTATAAAACGAAGAAACGAGGAAAGGGGAAAGAGCTGGCGACATGTCAACCTCTCCTTCGACAAAACGGGTTAGAGGTAACTGAACGTTTCTGCTGCAGTTGCGATTGCAACGTCTGATGCTGGTTCTGTTGATGTTTGAGCAGACGGGCCGGCAACAGCTACTGGAAGACTCGGTTGCTCGGTGACTGCTGCTTTCACGGTGTGTCTCACGTCACTCCCCTCCCGTCGGTTGTCCCGGTTGAGGAGACTGCCGACTTTGGTGGCCGTGCAGTGCAGTCTTCGCCGCCTGCCCCTTCCCCGGCGTCGCCTCCTCCGCTGCCTTCGCAGTCGTCATCGCCGCCGCTGTCGCAGCTGCCGTCACCGCCGCCGCCGCCGCCGCATCCGTCGCCGCAGCCGACGCAGCAGCAATTCGTTGACTCTGGGGGTGCTGGCACTGGGGTGGGTACTTGTCCTGGGGTTCCTGTTGTGGCTTGTCCCGGCGGGCTTGGGGGTGGTACCGGTATCCGCGGGGTTTCGGGGCCTAGGGGTGTTCCCTCTGGGGGTGCTGGAGTGGAGTGTTTCGGAGGTAGCCGTGGAGCAGCTTGCCGTCCCGGTGTCGATGTCGTGCCGCCACAGCAGCAGTCACCGTAGGTGTCAGCCCTTCGCCTGCTCGGCCTCCTGTCCCCTGACCGTGTGTCTGTGCCTCCCCTGCCGTCTCCTCCCCTTACTGTCTACGGCCCTGTGTTCCCTCCCCCAGACTCGTCTCCGGCTCGTCTTCCTCCTCGTTCCCCACCTGTGTCCCCTCCTCTGCCTCCTAACCGGACGCCTCCGTTTCACGTCTTGTCTCGCTGTCCCTCCCATGCTCGCCCCGTCTCCCCTGTCCCGCGCTCTCGCCCTATGTTGCTTCGTTCCCACGCGTCTCGTCCTACCCTCCTACCGTCGCCGCCTCCGTCCTCTCTTGTTGTTGCGCCTCCCCCCTTGTCTGACTACCTTCGCGCCACTCATCCCCTTGTTCCTCGGATCCTTGCCTCCCTCGTTACCGACCCGTTTGTTCCGGTCTCGTGTCTCGACGCTGTTGTAGCTGCGGTCGCTGACTTCGACTCTACCCGCCGCCTTGACTATGCCACCGCTCTGGTCTTTGAACCTGCCTGTCCTCTGTCTGTCGGGGGTGCTCCTGCCCTCGGCAGTGACGTCCTGGAGGACCGCCAGTACGAGCTTGCTTTCCTATCCGAGGCTGCTCCCCATCTCTGTTCCATGTTGTTAGTCCCTCAGGGTGACCCAGACGCTTTCGACATCCCGACCCCTCGCACTTACGCTGAGGCGACCTCGAGACCTTGGGCCTCTCAGTGGATAGCTGCCATGGAGCAGGAGATGGCATCTTGGAGATCCACCGGCACCTACGTCGACGCAGTTCGTCCACCTGGGGTGAACGTAGTCGATGGCCGCTGGCTCTTCAAGGTGAAGCGCCCTCCTGGAGAGCCGCCTATGTTCAAGGCACGCTACGTGGCTAGAGGCTTCAGTCAGCGTGAGGGGGTGGACTTCTTTCAGACTTGCGCCCCGACGCCGAAGATGACTACTCTTCGGGCACTGTTACACGTAGCAGCACAGCGTGACTGCAAGTTACACTCCCTCGACTTCTCCACTGCGTTTCTTTAGGGCAGTCTACACGAGCAGGTCTACCTGCGCCGCCCTCAGGGTTTCACTAGTACCTTCCCTCCTGGCTTCTGCGGCGCCCAG